ATTTGGGAGTGCAAGCAGTAGGTCCAGGGAGTCTCTGGGACAGAGATTTGGGTGCCAAGAGGGGATCAGTGGAGCAGGGGCATACAGAGGGAAGGAAAGGGGTTCCCAGGAGCTTTGGGGGTCCCTGGGCAGGGGGGTCAGAGCCTCTGTGGGCCCCACACTCACATGTCTGGCAGTCCTGTTTGCCCTCACCCCAGCAGTGCCCCTCGGCACAGAGCGCCCGGCAGTCAGGACCTGCACAGGGGGAAGAGTGAGCAGGGGGTGCCAGGAGGGGCTGGAACCCCCCAGAGCCCTTCCTGGTAGTACAACCCCCCCTCCTGGGGCACTCACAGCTGCGGGTGCGGGTGGTCTCCACCTGGATCTCGGCACGGAACTCGTTGTGCCGGTGCAAGATGTCGCTCCAGAGGATGGTCTCCTGGAAACACAGCTCGGGGTTCCTCTCGATGAGCACCCCTCCCTTCAGGATCTCTGTGGGGGCACAGGTAGTGGGGAATCAGCATGGGGAATGCCTGCAGCTCGGTAGGGACCTGCCACTCCATGGGAGCACCCACCAGACCTGGACAGGGACCCCAAGGGACCACCCACCCCAAACCGGAGCTGGCATCTCCCAACTACAGGAGCAGCAACCCGCATATCCGAGCACCCCAGACGGGGGGTTCCCCACCTGTGAGGTGCCTCATGCCGAGCTGGCGCAGCCCCGGTGCCCCGGCGGGGCCGGCGTTGCCCACCACGGCCAGGGCGTAGCGCTCCTGGAAGAGCTGCGTGCCGCGGACGATGCGCAGGCTCTGCAGCTCCAGCCCGCTCACTTGGTTCTCCGCGATCAGCACGTACCCCTGCACCTCCTTGATGTCCTGGCATGGGAGGGATACGGGTGAGGGGCCGGTCGGACCCTCCTTCCCCCCCCCTCGGGGCGATTTCCCGCTGCGCACCTTGAGGAAGGAGGTGTCGGCGCCGGCGGGCAGGTAGGTGAGCTCCAGGTTGCCCTGGACTACCTGGCAGCCCTGGTAGAGGTGCCGCAGGGTCTCGTAGTGGCTCTCGGGGCTGGAGGGACGCAGCAGCTTCATGTCGGTGCCGGTGCAGACTGTGGGGACGGACAGCGGGGGGTCAGCGGGTCCCCGACCCCTCCTCTGCCCCGTGGGACACGGAGCTCCGGCCCCCGCAGGAAACGCCGCGGATGCGGCGGCCGCCGTTTATCTCCGGGGCTGCTCCCAACAGCTTCCGATGGGTTTCCTGCACCGGGGCTGCCCCGCCAAAGCTGCTCCCGGCTCTGCCACCGGGCCCCGCTCGAGGGACAACGGGGACCGTGCCCGCGGCGGGGGCTGGGGGGCTGGGTTGGGACCCCCGGGGCCGGAGCGGGGGCCGCGGGCAGGAATGCGCTGCCCACGCCGCCGGGGCGGCCCCGCCGAGACAAGACCCGATTGTTGAGCGGCGACGGCTGCGGGGCCCGGCCGGCCCCATAGCGGGGGGCTGCTGGCCGGGAGAGCATCCCCGCGGCATCCAGGCGGGCTGGGGGGCGCGGGAGCCCGCCCTGGGTGCCAGGCCCCGGGCGAGTGAGTCACGGGCGCGGGTGGCACAGGGCCCCGGCCGCCCGCTCCCGGCTGGAACCGCCTTTTCAGGTCGGGCGTGTTTGGGGAGCAGCGGTGACGCAGGGCTGGCGGGCACGGCCCAGCCCCGGCGCGCCCGCGGCCCCCGGCACCCCAACACCTCACCGGGGGGAGCCCAGCCCCGCTCCGGCACCGAGCCCCGCGCCGCTGACCCTGCCGCCACCGCGGTGTCACCGCCAGAGCCACCAGCCCTGAGGCACTGCGGTCCCAGCACGGGCAGGGGGGCACACGGGGGTCGGGCGGGGGGTCGGTGTGGCGGTCCCCGGCTGCTCGGTGGCTGAGTGACAGCCCCCGGTGCTGGGCAGCTGCGGTGTCCAGCAGACCCGGCTGGCACTCGCCTCCCCCGCCTGCTCCGAGGCCTTTGAGGCAGGGAAAATACGGCCAGGAAGGAGGAAGCCCCCCGAATGTGGGGTTCGGCTCTCTCCCACCCTCCGTGAAAAGGGGGGACCCCGGAAGGGAGCGTGCCGCTGTGCGGGGCGGCCAAAGCTCAAGGTCTGCGCCCACACCTGCGGGGTGCTGGGGCTTCCCCGGGGCAAAGGGCAGGTGGGACAAGTGCTCGGCAGCTGGGATCCTGCTGGGATCCCGGCTCCGTGCCCCAGGATTCGGCCTTGTCTGCTCGCCCAGTCGCTGGCTGGGCACCGGGCAGGGACTGATCCATCCCGCCTGGCTCACTGCAGCGGGCGGTGCCACCACGGAGCGCCTCGGCTGCCCACGGGTGTCCGGCAAAGCCCGTGAGCCACGTGCCCGTGGGGCCGTCCTGAGCCGGGGCTGCCGAGCCCCAGGCACGGGGAGACACCGGGGTGTCCCTAAGCAGGAGCCCGCCCCGCACAGACCCTCCAAGCAGCGTGAGCTGCGGGCTGCCAGGAGCGGAGGCCACCCGGTGTGTCCCCACGTCCCTGTCCCGCCACCTCACACCGGCTCAGTCCCACCGAGCATTCACTTTCTAAACTCCCGCTGCTGCAGCTGCCCCCCAACAGGAGGAGAGAGGCGGCAGGGTCCAACTTTTGGGGCTGCTGGTGCCCACGTTGGGGCCACCAGCCCCATGCCCTGCCGGCCCCGTTGCCGCGGTGCGTGGCCGAGGCCCGGGGGCTGTGGGGCCGGGCTCCCCGCTCCCCCCGGGGCTGGGCTGGGTGCGGCACGTCGAGAATGTGGATGGGAGCGACGGGGACGCCCCCACCCACCCGCCCAGCCGCTCCGCGGGGCACCGCGCCTGCCCCGCACCCCGAAGGCTCCCGATGCCCACGGGAAGGGAACCCCCATAAGCTGGGGGCCCGCATTCCCGCTTCTCCCGGTGGTACCGGAGCCCTGAGAGCGGCTGCAGCGGGGGGTGCCCGCTCCGGGCTCTACCGGAGCCCCTAAATCCCTCCCGGGAATCGTCCCGCTCGGGGGGACCGGGGCGCAGCGGGCAGGGCCTCCCGCTTGGCCCCAGCGCCTCCCAGTACACACCAGTTCGGCCCCCGGTCCTGGCGGGCAGTCGCGGCGCGGGGACACCGGGGTCGCGCTGCCCGCGGCGGGGAGGACCGGGGGGCACCGGGGGAGGCGGTTCCGTCTCTTTCCACCGTGCAGCCCCGGTGCATACCGGACCCCGCGGCCCGGTGCCCCCCCGACCCACTCCCAGAGCTGCCCGGTCCCACCCCCGGTGCCCCCCTCGTTCGCAACTCGAGGCCCCCACGGTCCCCTCCCGCTGCTCTCTCGCTTCCCCCGACCGTCCCCTCCCGGTTTTCCACTCGGTCCCACCCCCGATGTGTCCCCGGTGCCCTCTCGGTCACGCCCCCCGTGTCCCCCCCTCCCTTTCCCGGTTCGCCCTCTCGGTGCCCCCCCCGGTCCCGGTCGGTCCCGTGCAAAACTTTCCGCGAAGTCGCTGCGCGGGGGACGCTCCCGCGGCCCGGAGTCCCCCCGATTACCGGTGTCCCCGGTGTCCCCCGGTGCCCCCCGGTGGGACCCACCTTCAGCGGCGGCGGGGGGGCAGAGGGCGGCCAGCAGCAGCAGCCCGGCGCCGAGGCAGCCCCCGGCCGCGATCATGGTGCTCAGCGCGGGCCGCGGCCCATGGCCCCGCCGCCGCTCCGGGAAAGTTTGCGGAGCCGGAGCCGCCGCCTCCCGCCGCTCCCGGGCTCCGCCTCGCCCGAGTCCGTCCAACCTCCCGGAGCACCGGGCACGTCCCGCCCCGCAGCCCCCTTCCCTCCTCCCGTCCTCCGTAGCACCGGGAATCGCCGCCGTCCATCCCCCGGGAATCCCCCGTTCCCCCTTCCCATCCCCGGGACCAGCCCCCCGCCCACTGCCCCGGAGCGCTGGGGACCCCCGGGCTCTGATCCCACTTTCCAGCCCCTCGGAGCACCAGGAACCCCCCACCCCGCACCCCCTCCATCCCGGAGTGCCCCGTTCCCGTTCCCTGGGGAGCACCGGGGGCTCCCCAGCCCCGGCGTCCTGCTGCAATCCCGGGGGCGGGGGTCACCTCAATGGAGGGGGACACAGTCTCCATCCCTGTCCCCTCACCTGGGGCTGTGACTGTAACCCGTGTGGGGGACAGGGACAGAAATAGCACTCATGGATTTTGGGGGGAGCAGTGCCAGGGGGTGGGGGACAGACCTGGCACTCGGGAATGGTGCAGGGGGTTTGGGACACTCCTGGGGACAGGGACAGTCCAGCAGCATCTAACGGGTCCCCAGTGGGGTGACCAAAGCTGGCACCTGTCCCCCACCTGTTCCACTGTCACCTGCTGCCCTGGGCACGCAGAGGGAACTGGGACAGGGGGTCCTGCACAGGTGGGGACCCCCTCACATGGGGACCCCATCGGGACCCCCCAGCCGGGCAGAGCCAGGAGCAGCGGGATGGGGGCCAGGACGTGACCCCACACAGGGCACGTTCTGGCCCCCTGTACCCTTGGTCACCCCAGGCTGTGCTTCCACACGTGCCACCGAGGCTGCCACGAGGGAGGAGCCCCCAAAGATGAGGATTCTCGGTTTGGGGTCCCGCCTGCCACGGGGGCAGGAATGGGGATCCGGCACATCACTACTGTCACCTCAGGCCAGGCCGCCATGGGGACCTCATCCCACGGCCGCTGCCAGGATCCCGCATGGCCGGGACCACTCAGCTCCTCAGGCCGCGCTGCCCCCGGGCCCTGAACTGGCCCCGAGCCCGCAGGACACCGGAGGGTCCCCGCGGGACACCGAAGGGTCCCCGCAGTGCCCCGGGACCCCCGGGCCCCAGGGGGGGATATATCCCATGAGCCTCTGCAGAGCGCAACCGAGGGGGATATATCCCATGAGCCCCTGCAGAGCGTCCGCAGGGGGATATATCCCATGATCCTCCTGCTCGGGGGACTATATCCCATCACCTCCCGCGGCCGGCGGGGGCGGTATATCCCATAGTGCCCCACGCCACCCCCATTTCCGGGGTGGGCCGGAAGCGGCCGGGCCGGGCGGCGATGGCGGCGAGGGCCGCGCTGCTGCTGCTTCTCATGGCGGCGGTGGCGCCGGGCCCGGCCCAGGGCTCGCAGGGGGACCGGGAACCGCTGTACCGGGAGTGCCTGAGCCGCTGCGAGCGGCAGAACTGCTCGGGGGCGGCACTGCGGCACTTCCGCGCCCGCCAGCCGCTCTACATGGGCCTGACAGGTACCGCCCCCCGCTCCTATTGGCTGACGGACACTGAGGCCACGCCCCCTCTGGGCAGCCCTCTCCTTCGCGGGGCCACGCCCCCTTGGAGCCACGCCCCCTGGCTGAGGGACTGGGCTGGACTGGGAGGGACTGGGGGCCCTGGGCTGGACTGGGAGGGACTGGGGCTGGACTGGGAGGGACTGGGGCTGAACTGGGAGGGACTGGGGGGCCCTGGGCTGGACTGGGAGGGACTGGACTATGAAATGGGGTCACTGGGCCATACTGGGGAGGCACTGGTCCATGCTGCTGGTCACCATGGTGACGGCTGGGTGTCCCCCCAGATTGTCCAGTGAGGCTGGGGGTGAACCCCAGCCACTCCCCCTGCCCTGCTCTGGTCTGGGGCGCTCCGCTGCTGCATACTGGGGTGCACTGGGCCATACTGGGAGGCTGCTGTGCCATACTGGGAGGCACTGGGCCGTACTGGGATGCACTGGGCCATATTGGGATGCACTGGGCCACACTGGGGGTCACTGGGCCATACTGGGGAGTCACTGGGCCATACTGAGAGTCCCTGTCCCATACTGGGAGGCACTGGGCCATACTGGGATGCACTGGGCCACACTGGGAGGCACTGGTCCATGCTGCTGGTCACCATGGCGACGGCTGGGTGTCCCCCCAGATTGTCCAGTGAGGCTGGGGGTGAACCCCAACCACTCCCCCTGCCCTGCTCTGGGGCGCTCTGCTGCTGCATACTGGGAGCACTGGGTCATACTGGGGTGCACTGGGCTGTACTGGGAGGCACTGGCCCATACTGGGAGCACTGGGCCATTCTGGGAGTCCCTGGCCCACACTGGGAGGCACTGGGCCACACTGGGAGTCCCTGTCCCATACTGGGATGCACTGGGCCACACTGGGAGGCACTGGGCCATACTGTGAGCCCCTGTCCCACACTGGGAGGCTGCTATGTCATACTGGGATGCACTGGGCCATACTGGGAGGCTGCTGTGCCATACTGGGATGCACTGGGACATTCTGGGAGCCCATGTCCCCCACTGGGGGTCCCTGTCCCGCACTGGGAGCCCCTGTCCCGCACTGTGAGTCCCTGTCCCCCACTGGGAGCCCCTGTCCCCCACTGGGAGGCTGCTGCTCCCCTCAGGCTGGACGTGCCGCGACGAGTGCCAGTACGAGTGCATGTGGCAGACGGTGCGGCGGTTCCAGCAGCGCGGCCACCGCGTGCCGCAGTTCCACGGCAAGGTCAGCTCCGGGGGGGGCGACGGGCGCGGCCCCGGGGTCCCCCCGGTGCTGCTGACCCCTCCGGCTCCTCGCAGTGGCCCTTCTCGCGGTTCCTGTTTTTCCAGGAGCCCGCCTCCGCCTTCGCCTCCTTCCTGAACGGGCTGGCCAGCCTGGTGATGCTGCAGCGGTACCGCGCCGCCGTGCCCCGCGCCGCCCCCACCTACCCCACGTGCGTCGCCTTCGCCTGGGTGAGCGCCCTGCCTGCCCTGCCCGTCCTCTCCCTCTCCTGTCCCATCCTTTTCTCTTTGGTGCCCTCCCTTGTTTTCCCTCCTCTTTCCCTTTTTTTCCCTCCCTTTTTTCTCTCCTTTTTTCCCCCTCCCTTTTTTCCCCTCCCTTTTTTTCCCTCCCTTTTTTCCCTCTCTTTTTTGCTCTCCCTTTTTTTCCCTCTCTTTTTTGCCCTTCCTTTTTTTTGCCCTCCCTTTTTTTTGCCCTCCCTTTTTTTGCCCTCCCTTTTTGCCTCCCTTTTTTTTGCCTTCCCATTTTTTCCCTCCCTTTTTTCCCTCCCTTTTTTTCCCCATCATCCTCTTTCCCCATCATCTATTTTTCCCCATCATCTTTTTTCCTCTCTTTTTCCTCTCTTTTTCCTCTCTTTTTCCTCTCTTTTTCCTCTCTTTTTCCTCTCTTTTTCCTCTCTTTTTCCTCTCTTTTTCCTCTCTTTTTCCTCTCTTTTTCCTCTCTTTTTCCTCTCTTTTTCCTCTCTTTTTCCTCTCTTTTTCCTCTCTTTTTCCTCTCTTTTTCCTCTCTTTTTCCTCTCTTTTTCCTCTCTTTTTCCTCTCTTTTTCCTCTCTTTTTCCTCTCTTTTTCCATCCTTTCCCTCCTTTTCCCCATCCTTTTTCCCTCTCCTTTCCCTCTCCTTTCCTTCTCTTTTCTGTCCCTTTCCCTCTCTTCTTTCTCTTCCTTTTGCCTTCCCCTTTATCTCCTCCCTCTCCCCTCCTTCCCTTTTCCTCCTTCCGCTTCCATTTTCCACTCTCTTTCCCTTGCCTTTTTCTCCTTTTCCCTTCCCTTTTTCCCTTTCCCTTTTTTTCCTCCTTCCCTTTTTCCCTTTTCCGCCATCTCCATGAAAGCAGGGCCCTAACATGTGTAACAGTGACTTAGGAAGACAAACAACACTATAAATGCCCTCCCCTTCCTCCTTCTTCCCCCACTTTATGTACTGAGCATGATGTCACATGCTCTGGAATGTGCCTTTTTCCCTTTTCCTCCTTCCCCTTCCCTCTCCCCCCTCCCTCCCCCAGATCTCCCCCATTCCCACTCGATCCCACCCAGCTCTATCTCTCCCACCCCCCCATCCCACTCCCAGCTCCCTCATCCCCCAACTGCTGGGGTCCCGACCCTGGGGGGACCCTGACCCACATCCCCCCACCCCATAAACCCCAAATTTCCCCTTCCCAGGTCTCCTTAAACGCCTGGTTCTGGTCCACCGTGTTCCACACCAGGGACACGGCGCTGACAGAGGTGAGTGCCACCCCCAGAGTGTCCCCAAACCCCCGGGGGGTCCTGCTCCAGAGCCCCCTCCCCAGACTGCCCCCCTGGCAGCACGGCTGAGCCGTCCCCAATCCCACAGAAACTGGATTATTTCTGTGCTTCAGCTGTCGTCCTGCACTCCGTGTACCTGTGCTGTGTCAGGTGGGCACCAGGGGCACTGGGGGGGACTGGGGGACACTGGGGCAAACTGGGGAGCACTGAGGAGGACTGGAGATGGATTGGGGGGGACTGGGGCAAACTGGGTGGGACTGGAGCGAACTGGAGGGGACTGGGGGCAAACTGGGGGGGACTGGATCCCCGCCCACTGGAGATGGATTGGGGGGGACTGGAGTGAACTGGAGGGGACTGGGGGCAAACTGGGGGGGACTGGAGACGGACTGGGGGGCACTGGGGCAAACTGGGGGTGAACTGGGGCAAACTGGGAGGCACTGGGGATGGACTGGGGGGCACTGGGGATGGACTGGGGAACACTGGGGGCAAACTGGGAGGTACTGGGGCGAACTGGGAGGCACTGGGGATGGACTGAGAGGCACTGGGGAGTGCTGGGGATGGATGGGGGGCACTGGAGATGGACTGGGGAGGACTGGGTTTGGACTGGGAGGGACTGGGGACAGGTGGGGGGCACTGAGGCAAACTGGGAGTCACTGGGAGCAGACTAGGAGGCACTGGGCCTCGCTACAGCTAGACTGGGGAGTGTACTGGGAGGCACTGGGCTGTACTGGGAGGCACTGGGTCATGCTGGGAAGGGTCACTGGACCCTGCTGGCAGCCACTGGGCCGTGCTGGTTCTGTACTGGGTGCTACTGGTCTGTACTGGGGCTGTGTCAAGGGTCACTCAGACTGTCCTGGTGACTCTGGGCCATGCTGGTGGATACTGAGCTATTCGTGGTCCACACTGGGAGGTGCTGGGCTGTACTGGGGGCCACTGGGCTGTACTGGGGAAGGTGCTGGCCTCTTTTGGGCCAGTTTGGGCATCACTGGAGCACCTGGGAGGACCCTGGACCATACTGGGAGGACCCTGGGCTGTACTGGGAGGACCCTGGGCTGTACTGGGAGGACCCTGGGCCATACTGGGAGGACCCAGGGCTGTGCTGGGAGGACCCTGACCATCCCCCTTCCCCACAGGACGCTGGGGCTGCAGCGCCCGGCCTTAATCAGCATCTTCAGAGCCTTCCTCCTGCTCTTCCTCGCCGGCCACATCTCCTACCTGAGCCTCGTGCGCTTTGACTACGGCTACAACCTGGTGGCCAACGCTGCTGCTGGTCAGCTGGGGGCACTGGGAGGGACTGGGAGGCACTGGGAGGGACTAGGATAGACTGGGGGGCACTGGGATAGGCTGGGAGGCACTGGAATGGATTGGGATGGACTGGGAGGCACTGGAATGGACTGGGGGGCACTGGGAGGCATTGGGATGGACTGGGAGCGATTGGGAGGCACTGGGAGGGACTGGGAAGCACTGGGGTGGTCTGGGAGGGACTGGGATGAACTGGGAGGCACTGGGATGGACTGGGAGCTATTGGGACCAGCTGCAGCCAGAGCAGGGAGTGCTGGGCTGGACTGGGAGCCACTGGCCTGGACTGGGAGCCACTGGGCTGGACTGGGGCTGTGTCAGGGTCAGTCTGTGCCCTCCCCATCCCTGAGCCCCCCCTGTCTCTGAGCCCCCATTTTCCCAGGGGTGCTGAGCAGGGCTGGGGTGTCCCCACGTTCCTGAGCTCCCCGTTTTCATGGAGTTGTGCCCAGGGGTTGGCACTGCCCTGTCCCTGAGCCCTCTGTTTTCCCAGGAATGTTGAGCACAGTTTGAGCACCCCACAGTCCCTGATTCCCCCTGTTTTCCCAGGAATTCTGACAGGCTTTGGGCACCCCACAGTCCCTGTGTTCCTCTGTTTCCCTGGGAATGCTGTCAGAGTTTGGGCACTCCTCTCTCCCTGATCCCCCTTGCTATTTTCCCAGGAATTCTGATTGGAGTTTGGGCACTCCACTCTCCCTGATCCTCACCCTGTTTCCTCAGGAATTCTGACTGGGGTTTTGGCATCTCCCTGTCCCTGTGTTCTCCTGTTTCCCTGGGAATTCTGACAGAATTTGGGCACCCTTCTGTCCCTGATCTCCCCTGCTTTCCCAGAAATGTTGGGCACCCTACTCTTCCTGATCCTCACCCTGTTTTCCCAGGAATTCTGACAGAATTTGGGCACCCCCCTCTCCCTAATCCCACACTGTTTCCTCAGGAATTCTGATTGCAGTTTGGGCACCCCCTGTCCCTGATCCCCCCACTGTTTCCCCAGGAATTCTGACTGGGGTTTGAGCACTCCCCTGTCCCTGTCTTCTCCTGTGTCCCCAGGAATTCTGACAGGCTTTGGGCACCCCCTCTCCCTGATGCCCCCGCTGTTTCCCCAGGAATTCTGCCCAGGGACTGTCCCTGATCTCCCCTGCTTTCCCAGAAATGTTGGGCACCCTAGTCTTCCTGATCCTCACCCTGTTTTCCCAGGAATTCTGACAGAATTTGGGCACCCCCCTCTCCCTAATCCCACACTGTTTCCTCAGGAATTCTGATTGCAGTTTGGGCACCCCCTGTCCCTGATCCCCCCACTGTTTCCCCAGGAATTCTGACTGGGGTTTGAGCACTCCCCTGTCCCTGTCTTCTCCTGTGTCCCCAGGAATTCTGACAGGCTTTGGGCACCCACCTCTCCCTGATCCTCACCCTGTTTCCCCAGGAATTCTGCCCAGGGATTGCTTGCCCCCTGAGCCCACAGCGCCGCTGTTTCCCCAGGAATTCTGACAGAATTTGGGCACCCCGCTCTCCCTGATGCCCCCGCTGTTTCCCCAGGAGCCGTGCCCGGGCTCTGGCCGCCCCCTGAGCCCGCGGTGCGGCTCTTTCTGCCCGCAGGGATGCTGACGGTGGCGTGGTGGCTGCGCTGGTGCGTGCGGCAGGGCCGGCGGCTCCCGCACGTGTGGAAATGCGCGGCCGCGGTGCTGCTGCTGCAGGCGCTGGCGCTGCTCGAGCTCCTCGACTTCCCCCCGCTGCTCTGGGTGCTGGACGCCCACGCGCTCTGGCACATCGGGACCATCCCCCTCAATGTGCTCTTCTACAGGTCAGTGACCCCCCCGGGGCAGTGAAAATAGGGGTGAGGGGCTCCCCGTGCTCCCCCGGGAGGTTCAGGGGTGCGGCGCTTCCCCCCTCCGGGGTTTGGGGGGGCTCTGCTGTGGCCTGGGGGGTGTTGGGGACTCTGCTGGGGGACCCTTCTTGGAATTGGGGTGCTCAGGGTTCTCAGTGTCCCTCTTGGAATTGGGGGGCTCAGGAACCCTCTTGGAACTGGAGGGCTCAGTGTTCCCCCCCCTTGGAATTGGGAGGCTCAGGGCTGTGGGGTGCTGGGTGTCCCCCCCTTGGAATTGGGGGGCTCAGGGCTGTGGGGTGCTGGGTGTCCCCCCCTTGGAATTGGAGGGCTCAGGGCTGTGGGGTGCTGGGTGTCCCCCCTTTGGAATTGGGGGGCTCAGGGCTATGGGGTTCTCAGCCTCCCCCTCTTGGAATTGGGGAGCTCAGGGCCCACCATGGTCTGTGAGATTCTCAATGTCCCCCCCCTTGGAATTGGGGGCTCAGGGCTGTGGGGTGCTTGGGATCTCCCTCTTGGAATTGGGGTGCTCAGGAACCCTCTTGAAATCGGGGGGCTCAGGGCTGTGGGGCTCTCAGTGTCCCTGCCTTGGAATTGGGGGGCTCAGGGCCCCCACATTTTTCTATGGGGTGCTGGGAGTCCCAGCCTTGAAACTGAGCTGTTGGGGACACCACTGTGGGTGCTGTGAGCCCCTCTGTTGAAATTGGGGTGCTCAGCACCCCCTCAGTTTCCCGTGGGATGTTCTTGGTCCCTCTCTTGCCTGTGGCATGCACAGACCCCCCCCTCCCCCCCTTGAAATCGGGGTGCTGGAGGGACCCCGGCGGTGCTGTGCTCAGTGTTGGGGTCCAAGGCTCCCCTAAACCCACTCCCCTTCCCACCAAGCCTCCCCCTCAGTCCCCCCTTGTCCCCCCAGTTTCCTGATGGACGACAGCCTCTACCTCCTGAAGGCCAACTCCGACCTCTTCAAAGTGGACTAGAGCTGCTGGGGGGGGTGGGCAGACCCCCCCCGTGCCCCCCCAGGGCCCTGCCCTGCCCTGTGCCAAGAGACCTCCCACCGCTCCGACCCCGCCAAGGGCTCTGTTCCAGCGGGAGCGTCAGCCCGGGAATCTGCTCCCTGCACCGTCCCCCATCTGCTCTCCCCCACCCCAGTGCACCCCATTCCCCACAGAGCACCCCTTTACCACCCATTGCCCACCCTGCTTTCACTCTGTCCCACCCCATGTGCCCCAAAATTCCCTCCGGGTGTCCCAAACCCCCTCAGTGTTCCCCAACGCCCTCAGCATACCCCATATCCCCCCATCCTGCACCCCCTTTCCCACCCTCTTCTTGCTCCCTGCACCCCCATTTGTGCCCCAAATCCCCCCATCCATCCTCCCCTTGCCCTGCACCCCATTTCCCACGCTGCTCTCACCCCATTCCTCCTCCTTGTACCCCATTTCCCCACACCCAGGGGTCCCTGATGCCCCCAGATCTCCATGCACCCCCTCCCCACAACCTCAGCCTGTATTGTCACCATCCTCTGCCTGTATTGTCACCATCCTCTGCCACAATCTCAGCCTTTGTCACCATCCTTTGCCACAACCTCAGCCTGTATTGTCACCATCCTCTGCCTGTATTGTCACCATCCTCTGCCACAACCTCAGCCTTTATTGTCACCATCCTCAGCCTTTATTGTCCCCATCCAGCCCGGCGCTGACTCCATCCCTCCCCACCCCTGGGGCTGCCGGGCAGGGTGGCATTTCCCGGGCATTTCCCGGGCATTTCCCGGGCATTTCCCGGGGATTGCCCTCAGCTTTCCAGCGGTTTCTGCGCGTGGGCGAAGAACACGCCGTCCACATCATCCACGCCGGTGCGGAGCGCGGCGGGCATGGCGTAACTGCGCAGCTCCCGCAGCGCGAAGCCCGCGGCCGCCAGCGCCTCCCGCACGTCCGATTCCCGCAGCGGCACCACGGGCAGCCGAGCGGGGCCCGCCAGGTAGAAGGACTCGCCCAGGGCCCCCAGCAGCACGGCGTGGCCCCCCGGGCGCAGCAGGTTGCCCACATGGGCCAGTGCCCGCACGAAGGCGGCGCGGTCGGGGCTCACGGCCTCCAGGCAGAAGGCGGAGAGCAGCGCGTCGGCCCGCGGGCGCAGCGGGGCTCCCAGCGGCTCCGGGCGGTGCACGTCGATGGGCAGGATCCGGCGGAGACGCTGGCGGAGACGGCGCTCCTTGTCCTGCCACGGCTCCCTGAGGAGAGGGGGGAATAGGGGAATGGGGAGGTGGGGAGTGGGGTGGGGGTTGG